CTCTTAGTTTTTCAATGATTCCTATTTCGTTTAAGAAACTTTTGGTCCTCGATCTCCAACATCGATGCTGCATTTTTTTCGGTGAATTCATTACTGAATCTCGTAAACTCGACGTTTCTCTATCTTATATGTAAGATAATTTCGTAAATATTAAGTAACGTTTATCACATCGGGTAATGAATTAATCCGATATAAATAACGCTAACTTATTTGAATATTAACTTATTTTTATATCTTCCTCTCTCGTAAGATTATTTTATTCTATATATTTTTATAGCACACGGATTATAAATATATATTATACAGTACATAGAAGCCAACCTCCCCTTTTCTCTCTTGGCGATTCATGAATGGAAACCGAGGGTGCGGCACGTACGTCGAATTATTTCGCTCGTGTGAATTTTTGCTTCGTAGTTAAAATCACGAACGCATGTCGCGATCTTATCCACAATGCGTCCTACACACGTGGGACCTATGACCAGCTTGAGCAGATGCTATTATTGTTACAGAAGCGACCTACGATGAATAGCGACCTTTATGTGCTATTATTACTTTACTCTCGTTTTTATAGGACTCCCACTGGAGAGAATACTCCATTTAGCCTTTGCTTAATTTAACTTTGAAGGATCTGGTAGGCTATCCTCGTTACAATTGTTTGAATCTACATTCAGAAGTTCAATTGAGCTTGAATTTTCAATAGTATTATGCTGTCAGAGTTTCGATGCAGAAACAAAAAACATGTTCGCCATGAATCAATTAATTTGATTTTGAGAACAGTAAGTTATAATTACTTCTCGCGAGTTACACATTAAATTTTTGCATGCCAGATTTAAAATATGATTATTATTATATCTTATATCTTGTTACGTACATGTACATGTTCGCGTTATAATGGTGCATTATTAATTAATTAGGATTAAAATAATTAAATTAACGAACATAACGAGATGTATGTATCAATTTATTTTATATTATATATTCGTGCTCGATCTGTTGATCTACTTTTCGTACATAGCGACACATGTACACGTAGATTCAAGCTATATACCGCGCCAATTAGTGCGAATGGAGGGTGGATGCGATGCCCACGAACATATACATATACCATATATACATCCATATACACGCACAGACACAGTCGACTCCCATTCATGTATCTGCCAAGCTTCTGTAAAATCTTACTCTATCATAATCACAAATATGCCTAAATAGTGGACGTATACACATATATAGAAGCGTTCGATGGCAGATATGTGAGTATTATATCGAGTGGTTGGCTATTATTAACTTGCCCGGTTGTGCATCAGAGAATGATAAAATAGCGTAGGCAGTTTCAGTTTAGGAAGGGTGTACGTTTCTATATACTTCATGTGTGTAACTAATCGATCACGTCATCGAGCTCGTAACCCGTTTTAAAGTTGCGATTAATAATAACTCCCTGATCTCTCTCGCTTTGTGACAACACAAGCACGTTAAACTGTCAGTCGTTTATTTTTCCCGGGGATCATTCCCCGTTTGGCGATACGTATTTTGCCAGAAATAAAATTTATCGCAATCGATTTCTAATCTCCAATTCAACGGAAATTTGTTCGGACGTGTACACTTCAGTGTGCAACGCCGTGAAAAGTTATGGCTCTTATCTTCATCGAGGTATGATATATGGCTGACCGCGTATGTGTATTTGTGTTGCACCCATAATATAGTTTAACCATATTATTTCATCGTGGCATCGTGAAAATGTCACGCGGTACAAAGCCGAGGAAACTGGTACAAAACTAATATTACATCGCAACCGTGAAACGTCATCTTTTATCACTATTATCTGTCCTTGTTATTGCGTATATATGCAAGACATTTGCAGCCGTTTATTATAGGCATAAAATCTAAATTTGAAATTATAAAAGTTTGTTGTAATATCTTCATTGTGCATTTCTTCCTGCCATATGAAAAATATGTAGGAATCCTACGAGAGAGCTACATACAATTCTTTAAAACGACACATTTCGTAGGGAAATTTCATATACTTTATGCATGTTTAAACGCGTACAAACGCGCTTTTCGCAGAAATCGCGGTGTGTATTCGCATGAGAGCACGACATATTGGTTCTGATTGAACCTCGACTCGGTTCAACTGCTTTGGGCTGTGCTGGACAAGCACGAGGCAGATGAAAACGTGAATACAACAAAATGAAGGGAGAATCTAGCTAGCGACGAGGATTGGATGACAGAAATAACAGCTAGAGCATCACTTTTGACAAATCCACGCGCGCAATATTGTCTCACAATGAAAATGCAGTTTCATTTAATATTCAATTTATAATAAGTTATGATTAAAAAAACAAAAATATTAATAAAGAAATAAAGAAGAGAAGAAAAATACGCGTTATTATTTTTCTGATTTTTGAAATAAATTTTCTCGAGAACAAACTCTCTCGTATAAAAAATTTTATTTCGCATTTGTGACATATATATATATATTTTTTTTTTAAATGTAAGATCATCATCCTTCCTGGTTTTACCACCATTTACGGGACGTCATGTACATCGAGATTGAAATATCCTGAATGTCTGAATTTGCACTGCGTTCCACTTTTTTTTATCTGATAGAAGATTGTACACGATAACGCAATTAAAAGAACAGCGCGCAAATAAAACAATAAAAGATTTTGCATAGCGCACGGAGAGACAAAAGGACGGATATTTATAACTCGCGAATAACCGGTTCTCGTAATTACAGCATAAAAAAATCGACCAGCCGATTTTGAAGCATGGAACCGACTATATAAGCGCGATTGCGGGGCTGTAATCAAGTCCAGATGGGTCGCACTGATTGACAATTTTCCACAGTCCTCTACTCTTAACCGACCTCTTTCGCCGCCCCTACGTTACGCGCCACTTCAATAGTCCGAATTCGCGGATATCGCTTCTAAAGCAGCCTTCAAACTGATGACCACAATCACTTGCATATTACTGATGATACCGTAATCGGCGAACACATATTTTTTACAAAAAATAATATAATTTAATATTATAGTTAAATATTATCTTTGTACTGATTTAGATTGACATCATCTATGTCAAATAAATCTTTCCACTCCGATAAAAAATGAACTATGGTAGCATAATTAATTAATGAGTTTGGTTTTGTGATTGAAAATATCGACTGTCGTACATTCGTATACCAGATTAAAGTTGAAGTATCGGTGTGAATGATTACCAATTACCGAGCGAATAAGCCGCTCGCATCGGCAGACAGAATGGCAAATGGATCTGATCAGGACACGTCGTTAATAGAGTCGAGAGCTCTGCGAGAGAAAAAGAGAAAAAGTGGTCGTGGGAAAGGGATATCATTGGCAAATCGAAATATTTTCTAGCAGTATTTATAGCGAGCAACGACTTCACTTTCAATAACAATAAATACATTTTTGATTTGAATGGCGATTGTTCATTTAACATATTGGCCTCTGCGGGAAGAGAAGGGACAGGAATTATGCATCCTTTGCTAATTAATTATTATACTATTTTGCAATTAATTTTTGAGCAGGCGCTTATATACCGCTCACATTTATCTCATTTTCTCGCGTTCATTGTTCTACAAATTGACGGTGACCTCGTTCCAACCTTTCAAACTTTGCCATCTTAAAGCACACGATGTGCGCATTCTACCGACAATGGCGAGTAACAATAGATGGTCGGATTAAAATGCAAATTAGTCCATAAGTCAAGACATTATATAATTGTTAGCTGTGCTGGCTGGCGGTTATTGTCATGGCAATAAACTTTCAAGATTTAAGGTGTCAGCGAGCAGTATCCAAGCGGTATATATACGCTTGTACTTAAAAGATTACATACGTATATTTGGTATCGCAAACCTTCGCCTCTCTCTATATCGCGGAACTTATAACTACTTGAGAGAATTGTATCTATTTCAAAAATTTCAATCGACCGAAAAAATATCGTTAACCGACTCTGTAAAGATTATAAGATAAATGTTACACACTAATAATACGTTATTTCAATATTCATCTTTTTAGATAAAATGTCTTTCTTTATTTAGATTTCTCGGTTAGTTCCGTGAAAGAAATTTAATTATAACTAAATATGGTAGAACAATTTAGTTACTAACTTACGGAAATACACCGAGTAAAAGCATTATATATTTATTATTCTTCTTTTTTTTTTCAGAGTGTGCGCTAAAAGAGAAGAGCTTAGAACCACCTGTCTCATTCGACTTGTGCGAGTACTACCCTGAGCATTACCTCCCGCGGGTAATTAACATAAAAGCGATAACGCGAGAGTGCTCTGGAAGTAGCGACGACAGCCGGCATCTTTGAAAGAGATCGTTTGTATTAAAAAAAATACGTTTGAAGTAATTTGCGAAAAACTCTCGCGAATAACAGTGAAATATTTTATTATGTACAAATCCACTTTGAATACATATATCCCTCGATGTTATTAATGCGTATTAACTTCTTTAATTCTATGTAAAAACTTTCATAATTTCACAACAAACTGTACATATAATTAAAATAATGTACACATACATAATGTAGTTCTTTAATTAATTATATATTTGAATAATTATTATAAATGCATTAATTAATTATGTATTCATATTAATGTTGTGCTAGAAAATGCGTGGAAGCAGACAATAATAATCATTTTATGACATCACATCGTTATAATCATGTTAATATGTATGCGTATTAGATTACTTTCTCAGGAGATCAAAGGTCAGGGTGACGATGTTCCCGATATATCCGCAGTTATGTACTCGTCAGTTATTGTTCCCCAGTTAATAGTTAAGACTACAAACACTTGCGTCTGTCAAGAGATACGTCCGTGCTTAACATGAATTAATTATGTCGCGATTACATAATTATACGTCGAGTTTTTATAATGAAAATATAAATGCATTTTTCCATAAAAAAAAATGTATATATACAATTATATTAAGAATATTATATAATTTTTCATAAGAGACAATATACTTTTCCACTACAGCACTGCATGCCAAATAATTTCGTCGTATAGTCTTTAACGAGCTTCAGTTTCGATTGCACTTTGCAACTCAACATACATATTACGCATATATTATCTTATTTCTTGATTTAGACTTAAAATATGCGATCACTATACATTATAATTGTATTATGTACGTAGGTAAAAGTTTACTTTAAAGCTCAGAATTGTAAAGAAAATATTTTTATCATTTTTTTTTCAATATTTTCAATTCTTCGATATTCACACAAAGTGCCCTTACTCGAATGTAATTAGTGCATGAATGTATAAGAATAATTGAATAACGCATTCTTCACGATGTTTCCGTAAAAGGCTACTCGTGATTTTGTAATAATTACTGTATGTACAGTGCCTATTTTCGGATCGTGCTTCACGATGGCTGTTGAGAATGCAGCCACGTGTAATTGCGAGCACTGTGACGAGAAAAAAGTGATCGGTTTGGGAGAGGAGACGACTACTCACGTGAGGGAGGTCATATATGAGGAGGACAGCGATAATGATGGTAATCGGACAATTTGCGCCAGGAATCGTGATTTTAACGATCGCACTTTCCCAAGTGTCTGTCACATGTTATGTTACAATCATTGTACTAGATATCGCATGGTGGCAGATAAGAGAAATGACGTAAAAAAGTATGTCGTAATTGCGTATAGATCAAGTAAGTATTTGAAAAATTGACTTTTATATTTTTCTCTTTTTCACATGTGTAGTATTTTGACAATTTTAATTCAATCAATTTAATTGTAAAACAATTTCTATATAATTAGTCATAATTAATAATTTTTTTATATTAGTCAATATTAATCATAATTAATAATTTTTTCTTTTAGTAATGTCTAATTGTAATATAATTGTGATAAATTATATTTATTACAATTACACAAATTATTACAAAAAAAAAAATTAATTATATATAATTAATATAACTATAAATTTTATACAGATTATTACAAATTGAAAGATGGATTGTGCTGAGGATCATATAACTGAAAGGCTTGATATACATATATGATCATTACAAAAAATTGAGCAGCACATGTTTTTGCAAATTTATATTGTATATATATCAATGTAAAAGAATATATATGTATGTATCTAAATAATTTTATTAGCCAATAGCTGGATGATTTATTTTTCAGATATAAGATGCGCTCTGTTTGACGTCAGAAAAATCTCAAAGCATTCGATTGGCCAATTGCAACAAAAAAATTTTTGCCCTTTTCGTTCTGATTGGTGACTCGAACGCTTCGAAATGTTCGTAGCGTCAAAGTGCGCCCATAAATATCTTGAGATTCTTAGACATAGTTTCCGAAATAGCCGCTATAGTGCGCTGTAAATATTATGCTTTCCTGTGATCAAAATTCCTCTAAATAGATTGAAATACAGTGAAGCTACGAGTGAAAAGCATACTTACCTGGCGTAGAGGCTACCGTGATCAACAAGGCGGTTCCTCCAGGGAGAGGCCTTTTACCATTGCACTACGGTTTGAGGCTGACCCCTGCGAATGTCCCTAATGTGGATATCTCGGACGTATAATTTTTGATAGCCGGGACTGCGTTCGCGCTCTCCCGTATAATATATTCACAAAAATAATGTATAATTGTAATAAGTAAAAATCTATTTTCGAAGTTTGAATATGCTGTATATTATGATAAACATATATGTATCACGATACATGGCATATTTTTTAAATTTTTTAATTGATCTTCTATATATTATTAATTTATAATAATTATACGCGTATTTTAAAAATGTATTTATATTTTCATGATAGAGACTCGACGTATCATTATGTAGTAGATTATATCGCGATATAATTAATATCATGTTAAGAGGAAACACATCTTTTGATGGACGCAAATGTTTGTAATCTTACTGATTAACTGGGGAACCAACATGCTGATAGAGCTTACAATTAATGTGCCGATGACGGGAATATCGATACACTAAGTACTAATTTTCTCAGAAAGAAATTTAATACGCATAATTAGCATCATTATTATGATAAAATATTATAAAAATAATAATTATTATCGCTTGCTTCCACGTATTTTCTAATACAATAAATATAACATACCTAAATATATAATTAATTAAAGAAATTAATCTTTGCTATTGCACTAAATTTTCGCCGTACATATTTAAAGATTGAAATAGTGTAAATGTATGCTGTAATAATACACATTTGACAAACTTCAAAACTTACATACATACATAAAACTTATGTTTTAATTAAAAAATTAATCTTGAAATATTTAATTGAATTAAAATTTGATTTAGATATTTAATTTGCCTCGATATTAATAATATCAAAAAGAATAATAAAAAACTAATATAATAAAACTAAATTAATATAACTAATTTGAGAAAACATAACTTTCACATCAGAGAATCATTTGATCTAATTAGAAATACGATAAAAGAGAAGAGAAGGGAAGGAGGAAAAAGAGAGAAGAGAGTTAAAGTAAATAAAAAGTTTTAATAATCTATCCTAGAAACACACGCGCGATATATATAGAAATTATTGCGAACTATATTTTTCTGATACGTGTCCAATGTATTTATTTACATTATTTAACTTAATATTATACTGTAAAATACCATATTTTTAAATTGTAATCAAACTTTTTACTTGATCAAGATTTTTAATTATTCCGTTAAGCTATCTTTTTGAAAATGTAATTGAAATATTTTACACTAGGCTGCGCAAGTTTTGGTAAAGTTTCTCGTATTCAAAATCTCATACAGTTAGGTATAAAACTCCTTGAGCGAGCGCGAAAAACATACTTACCTGGTGTTGAGATTACCGTGATCAACAAGGCGGTTCCTCCAGAGAGAGGCCTTTATCATTGCACTACGGTTTAGGGCTGACTTCTGTGAATATCCCTAACGTGGATATGTCGAACACATAATTTTTGGTAGTCGGGACTGCGTTCGCGCTGTCCCGCATAATTTATTTCCAAAAATAATATCCTGCAACAAAATAAATTTTATTTCAAATCTGTAATTAAGACGGATTTTGTTTTATAATTTTTGTAATGCCGTGTATTTTGATACACATATCTGTGTGTATATCAGAATACATGGTATTTCTGTGATTCTTGAAATATTTTCTGCATTACATAGCACACATAACATTATAAGCAGAATTGTATCCCAAGCTTTCTGGCATGTTAACATTCACACACACACACGTTAGCTATATTTTAAATATAAATAAATTACGTAAAAACAGGAAATTTTATTTGTTCCGTAAAATATTTTACTGTTTAAAATATCTTTTTTTTTTAGAATGCCGTGCATGTATTATTTACTGAAATTTTCGGATAAGCATTAAACAAAGAGGTTTAGTAATAAATAATCGACCCAGTAATCAATATATTAGGAAGTTATTCAAGAATTAAATCGCAATCTAATGAAATATTGATTCGATAGTTATAAATTTACGTAGCGTATTGCGGTTCCATTATTTTCACCGTGATTTCCGCGATTTCCTCAATTTCGTCGTCGTCTATGTCGCGATTATGTTAAGCTGTTAAGCCATTCGAATTTCTATTTGCACTTCAATTTCTCTTTTTTGTCGCGTTTAACGAGGCTGGCAATCGAGAAGTTACGATGCGTAAAAAATCAGGCGTAGCAGAGCGCAAATAATACTCTCCAATTAAACGACATGGGGAACCACATGAGAGTTTGAAGGGGAGAAAGAGAGGAAATGTCGGACATTTCCGTATGTTGGACGCTCGAAATGCACAGAAAGTTAACAGTGGCTGATGCAAGAAAGGGGGAGGAAGGGGAGAGGTCCGTGGGGGACGAAGGAAAGGAATTAACCAGACGCTGAGTCCTCTCTCGCAAATTGAGTTGCACGGAGCCGGAATTTAAACATTCAAATTAACCTATTTAGCAAGTCAAAGAGGCTAATGTGTGCGCGCCGGTTTCGCATGCCCCCCGCAAATCCTAATATTCAATCGATATTGCCTTGTATCTTGCCCATCGACCGCAGGCTCCCGCCTGCTGCGTTTTTTTCCCCTTTTATATCGGTAGCTGTTCGCTTCTCTAGCGATAAACAAAAAAATAAAGCATAAACGCGCCCCTTTCCCTTTTCCCTTTCGGAGGTGGTTACATCGAGAGATAGATTTTCCCCCTTTTTTTTTCTTTTTTTTGTTTCGTCAAATTGATGCAATACTCGTGAGAGTGAGTAAGAAGAGAGCGCGGACATATATTATATTTATTACTCGATTGTGAGCTGCGACTTTGTGACATCAGCTTGTTCCGTGGTGATGTTTTCAAACGTTCCAATTAATTCTTCCCTCGCGAAGCGGGCATTGTTTTGCGCCAGATAAACGCGAAAGATTGTCCACCGACCGATACGCAACGCGGTGTGGTAACGCGCGTAAACAAAGGGTGTTATACACGATGCACGACGCATGTTGCTCGCATGACATGCATGGAAAAAAAATCGCTCGGCTTTCCCGACGGAAATTGATCCTCCGGTACGAGATTCTCCGATTATTTTCTACGTTTCTACGGCTATGCTCGTTACAGTAACGTCAACACAAACTATACCTCTGAGTACAATTATAATTTTATAGAAATAAATTTTGAAAGGATATATTTTATCCTGCTAATAACATCATTTCCTCACAAACGACCGTTGGAATATCATCCCTCGCCCAGTTTCCTTTCGTATTCTTCTTCTTCTTCTGAGACTGCCGGCCTCGAGTTCTGGACGTTCCAGTAAAGTTTAATAATATTGCATTTCATCACGTGTTATCGAGAAAACGATATTGTATAATAGTAATATAAATAGTAAATTTTTGATAATAGTTTCGCTTCCTTTTCAGCACAATTGACTGGTCAGCGTTCCTTTTTTCAAAAAGGGTAAATTATAGCCAGCGTGAAATAAGCTGTCAGAATATTATACGCACACATACATCGCCCACACACGTGCATACATTATATATACGTATATATGTATGTATGTATGTCTGTACGAATGACAACAAGGCGACCTCGCACACACGAGGTATATACACATACTACTACGTCACACATTCCTAAAGTACTACGTAAATACGCAAGTACAACAAATGCCGAATTTTGTTTACGTATCGTGGCCTTGTTATTACTCGCGCGACGAGCTTCGAGCGGGCTGGTCGTATTATTCCTCGATCGTGAAAAGTACCGGAATAAAATACGCGAGATTATAGTTTATTACAGTTAACAATTATATAGTCTCACGCAATTAATTAATTTCCGCGATCAACAACTTGTAAGCGCATCGAGGCAACGATTATTAAAAACAATATTTCACGATTTGTACATTTCAATAGAAATCGAAACGAGATGAGAGATAGGAATTTAAATTATCATTTTATTGCGATTTAAAATAACTATTTCTTGAGTGCTTGGATTAAAATATACTTGCATCGCGCTTTTACTTTTTCACCAATTCGAATATTATTAGACTGCTATTTTTTCTAATCGAGAGCACGGAGTAATAAAAATCATTTAATATCTCAAGTAATATTGTTACATACTGTTTATTAATTATGTATTTTTCGCAGGATGTATTTAAAATAAATCGTAATTTCGGCGATCGTATTTTTTACGTATTCTCTATTACTACAATAAATCTCTGTTAGTACAATAATGCGTAGTACAATAATTAATGTGTGTGTGTTAAAAGTGTTATGCAAAGTGTAGAACTGTTGTCACATTATGTTGAATAATACGCGCGTGCAATCGTAATTAAACATGTTTTCGGGAATAAATGCCATAAAGAAGCATCAAGGAATGGACGAGAGAGGAGGAGCAGGCCCGGGGAGGCATCAGGTGACGGCAGAGCTATCGTAGGGTAATTTATATAATTAATTTATTATTTGTTACTTGTAAAATTAATTGCTCCTTTATTACTGCGAAAATTATCGACTTTATATTATTATATATATATATATATGTATAC